TGTAGCCACTTTTAAATGCTCTTCAGTAAAATTTTGCTTGCGTGTGATATTAATGATCTTGTTCGATAATTTCCACATTCGGAGGGATCACTTTTCTTGGGAATAAGCATAAATATAGATCTCTTCCAGCCAGTTGGCCTGGTAGCTCTCTTCCAAATTTCTTGGTATAGACAAGTGAGCACTTCCAGCGCTGCTTCTGTTTGTTGAAACGCCTCAGTTGGTATTCTGTCAATTCCTGGAGCCTTCTTTTTCACTGACGCCTTCAGTGCAGCTTGGATTTTTTCCTTCAGTACCATTGGTTCCTGCTCATATGGTATTTCCTGAAATGGTTGAACGTTGACCAATTCTTTTTCATATAGTGATTCTGTGTATTCCTTCCATTTCTTTTGACACTTCCTGAGTCATTTAATATTTTCCCCCATAGAATCCTTCAAAATTGCAACTCAAGGCTTGAGGTTTTTTTCTTCAGTTCTTTCAACTTGAGAAATGCAGAGTGTGTTCTTTGCTTTTGGTTTTCCATCTACAGGTCTTTGCACATGTCATTATAATACTATACTTTGTCTTCTCGAGCTGCCTTTTGAAATCTTCTGTTCAACTCTTTTACTTCATCATTTCTTCCTTTCACTTTAGTTACTTGCATTCAAGAGCGAGTTTCAGAGTCTCTTCCAACGTCCATTTTGGTCTTTTCTTTCCTTCCTCTCTTTTTAATGACCTCTTGCTTTCTTCATGTATGATGTCCCTGATGTCATTCCACAACTCATCTGGTCTTCAGTCATTAGTGTTCAACGCATCAAATTTATTATTCTTGTGATGTTCTCTAAATTCAAGTGGGATATACTCAAGTTCGTACTTTGGCTCTTGTGGACTTGTTCTAATTTTCTTCAGTTCCAACTTGAACTTGCATATGAGCAATTAATGGTCTGTTCTGCAGTCAGCCCCCAGCCTTGTTCTGACTGTTGATATTGAGCTTTTCCATCATCTCTTTCCACAGATGTAGTCATTTTGATTTCTGTGTATTTCATCTGGTGAGGTCCACATGTATAGTTGCCATTTATGTTGGTGAAAAAAGGTATTTGCAATGAAGAAGTCATTGGTCTTGCAAAATTCTATCATGCGATCTCCTGCATTGTTTCTATATGTTCCAACTTCCGATTCTTCTTCTTTGTTTCCAACTTTCACATTCCAACCTCCAGTGATTATCAATGCATCCTAATTGTATGTTCTATCAATTTCATACTGCAGAAGTTGGTTAAAATCTTCAATTTCTTCCTCTTTGGCCTTAGTGGTTGGTGTGTAAATTTGAATAATAGTCATATTAACTGATCTTCATTGTAGGCATATGGGTATTATCCTATCACTTACAGAGTTGTACTTCAGGATAGATCTTGAAATGTTCTTTTTGACAATGAATGCAACGCCATTCCTCTTCAAGTTGTCCTTCCCAGCATAGTAGACCATATGATTGTCTGATTCAAAATGGCAAATACCACCATTTCAGCTCACTAATGCTTAGGATAGCAACGTTTATGTGTTCCATTTCATTTTTTATGACTTCCAGTTTTCCTAGATTCATACTTTGTACATTCCACATTCCGATTATTAATGGATGTTTGCAGCTGTTTCTTTTCATTTTGAGTTGTGCCTCATCAGTGAATGAAGGTCCCAAAAGCTTGACTCCATCCATGTCATTAAAGCTGACTTTACTTTGAGGAGTCAGCTCTTCCCAGTCATCTTTTGAATGCCTTCCAATCTGAGGGGCTCATCTTCCAGCAGTATATCAGACAATGTTCCGCTGCTAGTCATAAGGTTTTCACTGGCTAAATCTTTTCAGAAGTAGACTTCAGGGTCCTTCTTCCTAGTCTATCTTAGACTGGAAGCTCAGCTAAAACATGTCCACCAGGAGTGACCCTACTGGTATGTGAATGACGGTGGCATAGCTTCCAGCATCACAACAGCATGCAAGCCCCCATAGTACGACAAACTGACAGACACTGGGGGGAAATTACAGCAACAACAACAAAAACCTACAATAAAATATCAATAAGAAACTGTTAAGAGACTATACTTGAAAAAATATGGAGTTGGAAATTAAACTACACATATGCTTTTGAGTGTTTTGGAAGCCAAAACAAAGAGGCAGTATCAGTTACATATCCCTCGTTGTCCAGGAGGGGGAATCTTATTGGTTTCCCAGGGAGTTCCCTCTTGTACGTGGCTCTAGGACAAATGTTTCCTATGGGGAGAACTGAATAGGTTCCATTCTCAGTACAACCCTAAGACAGATGTTTATCCTTGTAAACTCCCTTGGTAGAAGGCAATAACATAATTCTGAATATATTATACCATTCACCTAATTTTCTGATATTTCCTAGATGTCAGTGAAAAATTCCAGATAAACAATTCTAGGTAATGTGTTACTGTGTGCTAGCATATTAAAGCAAGAATCTTATTGGATTCATATTAACAGACTCCTTAAAGAGGTAATATGCTTTTCTATAGTAATGAAATTGCTCTAATATGCGAACATCAGGAATCTCGGAAGATTAACAGGGAAGATTTTTATTTAAGAGCCTATCTGTATGTCTCAACTCCTCATATTAAATTTTAAGAAACATTCAACCTTGGCAAAAGGAGAAAAGAAACATTCAGAAATAAGTTGTTTATGGAATGCTTTATTACACTATTTCAAGGAAAGCTCTCTATTCTTTTTTAACGTAGCCTACACTTTTCTTTCTTCTGTTTTCTTCAGACATAATTCCATTGCTTCAATGTCAACTTTCTATTTTTGAACTAAATTTTGGTGAACTCATCTATTTGAATTTTTAAAATTATCTGGCATATTAAATTCCTTGGGATAAAAAAAATATTCTGATTGTAAATAGTTTTGTCCCCTTGTGGGCAGGTAGTTGATTTTAAAATAGACATTTTGCTATAATATAACAATAGAAGAATATATTGGACTTTAAGTCAATAATCCTGGTTAAAATCCTCATTGTTTCACCAATTTACAGTCTGAGTCTGGAAAAATAAATGTCCTTCTCTGTTCACCCTAAAATGAGAAGAGTTGGGCTAAGTTAACTCTGAGATCCTGTGAAGCTTTAATGATCAGTTTCCTGTGATACTTTCCCTGAACAATGATTGCACCTCTACATACTACCAAGATCTCTGTGTGCCCAGAGTAGGGTCCAGATTTCTCAGAGCTCCCAGAAAGAGTGCTTATGAGAGTGTGGTTCTTCTCTTCCTTTAAGGGAGGAGGCCAAGATCAAGTAGTCCGGCTACTTAATTAACTACTTAGGCCTTATCAAAACCAAAAAACCAAACCTACTGCCACCAAGTAAATTCCAACTCATGGTGATCTCATGTGTAACACAGTAGAACGGCTCCATAGGGTTTTCTAGGCTATAATCTTTATAGAATCAGTTCTCAGGACTGTCTTCTGTTGAGCCGCTCGGTAGGTTGGAACTGCCAACCACTTGAGCCAGCCAGGTTCCTCCTTTAGGCCTTACCCACCCACTATAATTTCAATGATCTACTATATGGTCAAAGTAAACCACTGTGGCTCTCTCATCTGGCAGAGTGGTGCCGTGGAAAGACCTCTGGTGTAAGAAAAGTGATTTGTGTTCAAATTCTTCATTTGAAACTAATTAATTCCACAATTATGCAGCTGTGGGCACGCCATTAATGGCTCTAAGCTTCAGTTTCTCCATATATAAAGTACAGACAATCATAACCAGTATGTAGACCCCACAGAGACATCATGAAGATCAATACTGTCTTAGTTATCTAGTGCTGCTCTAACAGAAATACCACGAGGGGATGGCTTTAACAGAGGGAAATTTATTCTCTCACAGTTCGGTGTGCTGCAAGTCCAAATTTAGGGCATCAGCTCCAGGGAAAGGCTTTCTCTTTCTGTCAGCCTTCTTCTCATCAGTGTTCCTCTAGACTTGGAGCTTCTCTGCACAGGAACCTCAGGTCCAAAGGATGTGCTCTACTCCCGGTGCTTCTTTCTTGGTGGTATGAGGTCCCCAACTCTCTACTTGCTTCCCTCTTGAGAGATAAAAGGCAGTGCAGGCCACACCCTAGGGAAACTCCCTTTACATTGGATCAGGGATGTAACCTAGGTAAGGGTGATGTTACAATCCCGCCCTAATCTTCTTTAACGTAAAATTACAATCACAAAATGGAGGCCAACCGAACAATTCTGGGAATCACGGCCCAGCCAAATTGTTACACACATTTTTGGGGGGACAAAATTCAAACCATGACAAATACCATTATGAGATGTTGTAGATAAAAACCTTTGGTAAGGTATGAAGCTTTCTAGATGTATGAAGAAGTTACTCCTACAAGACAGAAGATAAATCACTGTCAAAATGGACAACAGTTCATCCATCGCTCTCTAGTCAGAATAAGGGCATAGGATCTTTGAGTGCAATGGTTCTTCCTGTCAAACCAGGGTATTTCCGATAGAAAGAAGAATCATCAGAACAAAGAATTTCCAGTGCACAAAAGGGAAAACTCTAGCGCAATTTTTCTGAACCGTCATGATATCTGGATGTTTAGAAAGCCTTGTAACAGTATGCACCTACTTCTCGCCCATTGACTATCTCACTGTCCAACATTGTGCACCTACAACAATAGTAAAAAAATCTACTATATGACTGTTTTGTAGATAAACAGTGTACAACTGGCAGTAACAAACACTGAGGTGTGAGGTGAGAGTAACGCTGGTTGTGACGGCAAAGCTGATATGTCAGCTTGGCTGGGCCGTGATTCTCCATGCTTTGGCAGTTACGTAATGATGTAATTTGGCAATTATGTAATGATGAAATTTGGCAGTCATCTAATGATGTAATTGGGCAGTTATGTAATGATGTAGTCATCCTCAATTTTGCGATCTGATGTGGTCATCCTCCACTTTCCCATATGCCACTTTTTGCAAAACAACCTGGTCTTTGGAACCTAATCACATCGATAAATGAGGAGTGGGTGTACAGTAAATGATGTTGCTACCTCATGACACCATACTCGTAACAGTAACATCTCTTTTCCCAAGGCAGAAATAGAAGAGGTTCTTTCCCACCATGAACCAGGGCAACCACACCAGTGTGAAGGAGTTTATGTTCCTGGAACTCACTCACTTTCAGGAGCTGGAATGTTTCTTGTTTGTGGTCTTTCTCGTTGTGTATATAACAACCGTATGGGGCAATGTTCTAATTGTGGTCACTGTCACTTGTACTTCCTGCCTCCACAGTCCCATGTACTTTCTCCTGAGGAATAAATCAGTCCTGGACATTGTTTTCTCATCCATCTCTGTCCCCAAGTTCCTGGTGGATCTATTGTCAAAGAGAAAGACCGTCTCTTACAATGGGTGTATGGCACAGATCTTTTTCTTTCATTTTGCTGGTGGGGCAGATATTTTTTCCCTCTCTGTAATGGCCTATTACAGATACCTTGCAATTGCTAAACCCCTCCACTCTGTGACCATTATGAGGAGAGAGGTATGGGTGACCTTGGTGGTGGCTTCCTGGATAGGAGGTTGTCTGCATTCAATTGTCCAGATAATTCTGATACTTCCACTCCCCTTCTGTGGCCCCAACATTCTGGATGCCTTCTACTGTGATGTGCCCCAGTTGGTAAAACTGGCCTGCACTGACACTTCTACTCTGGAGATTCTCATGATCTTTAACAAGGGGCTAGTGACCCTACTGTGGTTCCTCCTGCTCCTAGGGTCCTACACCATTATTCTGGTAATGCTTCGATCCCACTCTGAGGAGGGACGGAACAAGGCCTTCTCCACCTGCACCTCCTACATCCTGGTGGTGTCTCTCCACTTTGTGCTAAGTGTTTACATCTACTGCCGGCCCTTCATTATGCTGCCCATGGACACAGTCATATCCATCAATAATACGGTCATCACTCGCGTGCTGAACCCCCTGGTCTACACACTGAGGAACCAAGAGATGACGTCAGCCATGAAGAGACTACAAAGGCGGCTTCAGTCTTCTGAGAGCAATAAACTAAGGTGAGGGAGTCAGATTGAAACCGGAAATCTAATTTTCTCAAACTTCTAGGCTAAGGGTAAGAGACAGCTGCTTCCTTTCTTGTCACTCATTTCCCTGTATATCCTCAGGGTCACTCAACCTTATTGTTATTGTTATTAGCTATGGTAGAGTTGACCTCAGCTCATGGGGACCCCATGCACAATGGAAATGCTACCTGATCCTGCATTATTCCCATGAAGGGTTGCAGATTAGATCATTAAGATATTTGGAAGCAGACTGCCAGGCCTTTCTTCTTAGTCTGTCTTAGTCTGGGAGCTCCACTGAAACCTGTTCAGCATCATAGCAACACACAATCCTCAACTGACAGACTGATGGTAACTGCACATAAGGTGCATTGACCAGGAATCGAAACTGGTTCTCCCACATGGAAGGTGAGAATTCTGCCACTGAACCACCAGTGCCCCCATTACTCAACTCTTTTAGAGGAGATATAAGAACAAAAGGAGAAGATGAAATTGACCATGAGCTATCAGACTGCTGGACTGGGAAGAAGTATGAGGTATAAGATTGACATCAATAACCAAAATGTTAATTTGGTATAATCCCTAGATTCTTATGTCAACATGTTTTAACTCAATTTTACCACCAACAATATGGAAAAAGCATTGCCTACTCACAAGATTTGCATGAGAATATTGTAAGGATGATAGCTGTGAAGGACAATAATTGGCACTAAGTAAGCATTCAATGTCCCCATTCTTTGTCCATCTATTCCTAAATATATGTATATAGAATATAGATGTGTTTATTATATACATGCTCTATAAGGTGATTTGGTTATTTCCAGTCGATTATTAAAATCTCTTGTTAATTTTATATTTTGAGTCCAGAATTTTGGATATACTTCACCAAATAGTGAAAAGAGAAGGAATATTTTAAGTTGTGTTAAGCCTGTTAAATACATGGACCAGAATTTCCAATTTTCAGGTCAATTCTACTGATTTTTCCCACTGATATCAGTCTCAAAACTACCTGTATAGTTTAAGGACCAATCTGCACAAAATTTACCGTGACTATTTATTTTATGTTAACCAGAACTTCCTTCTTCATTTCTCTCCCTTCTTTCCAAAGCTTTCATGTTATTGTTGTTGGTGGTGGTGTGTGTTAGATCTGGGGCAAATCTATATACTGTGAGTAGACAATTCAAGACAAATCACTGTAGCTCACAAAAAAACTACCAAAGAAATACCTTTCCAAACACTCAAGGCCTATTTTATGTACCAGAAGAGAAAACAAAAGCACATTTGACATGCCCATCAATGGATGAATGCATGAACAAACTGTAGTACAAACACAAAATTGAATACTATGCAACGATAAAGAATAATGATGAATCTGATAAACATCTTGCAACATGGATGAATCTGGAGGGCATTATGCTGAGTGAAATAAGTCAATCACAAAAGGACAAATATTGTATGAGACCACTATTATAAAAAGTCAGAAGAGGTTTACACACAGAAAAAAGATAAATTTTGATGGTTACAAGGAAGAGGAGAGGTGGGGAAGGAAAATCAATAACTAGGTAGTAGACAAGTGTTGAATTTGGTGGAGAGAAAGACAACACACAATACAGAGGGAGTTGGCATACCTTGACCAAGACAAAAATCATAGAAGCTTTCTGGACATATCCAAATACTCTGAGGGACCAAGTTACCTGGGCTGAGGGCTGGGGACCATGGTGCTGGAGGCATCTCGCTCAATTGGTGTAACAGTTCATAAAGAAACTGTTCTAAACCGACTTTGGTGAGTAGTGTCTGAGGTCTTAAAATCTTGCATCCTGTCCAGAGCAAAGAAGAATGAAGAAAACAAAAGACACAAGGAAAAGAATTAGTCCAAAGGAACTGCAGGAACCACAGCCTCCACTAGCCTAATCCCAGAAGAACTGATGATGCCCAGATACCATTACCGACTGCTCTGACAAGGATCACAATAGAATAGAGAGTCCCAGATATGGTGGGACAAAAATGTAAAACAAAATTCAAATTCACAAAAAAAGACCAGACTTTCTGGTCTGACAGAGACCGGAGGAACCCTTCGAGACTATGGCCCCTGGATACCCTGTTAACTCAGAACTGAAACCATTCCTGAAGTCCACCTTTCAGCCAAAGATTAGACAGGCTTATAAAACAAACAATAACGCACATGAGGAATGTTCTTCCTAGTTCAATCACATATACAAGACCAAATGGACAACACTTGCCCAAAAGGAAAGACAGGAAGGCAGGAAGGGACAGGAAAACTGAACAAATGGACACTGGGAACCTGGGGTATAAAGGGAAAGGGAGAGAGTACTGACACATTGCAGGGATTACAATCTGTCATAAAACAATTTTTGTATAAGTTTTTGAATGAGAAACTAATTTGCACAGTTAACTTTCACCTAGAGCATACATAGGTTAATACGGGTGCTAAATAGTTGGCTTAGTTATCTAGTGCTGCTATAACAGAAATATCACATGTGGATGGCTTTAACAAAGAGAAGTTTATCCTCTCACAGTTTAGGAGGCTAGAAGTCGAAATTCAGGGTGCCAAGTCTAGTGGAAGGCTTTCTGTCTCTGTCAGTTCTGGGTGAAGATCCTTGTCATCAATCTTACCCTGGTCTAGGATCTTCCCAGTACAGGGACCCCAGGTCCAAAGGATGCACTCCACTCCTGGCTCTTCTTGCTTACTGGTAATGAAGTCCCTTTCTCTCTGTTCAGTTCTATCTTTTATATCTCCAAAGATATCGACTCAAGATACAACATAATCCTGTAGATTGTGTCCTGCCTCATTAACATACTCACTGCCTCTAATCCTGCCTCATTAACAACGTAAAGGTTAGGATTTACAACATATAAGTTAAATACATCACAAAATGGAGGACAACCACACAGTACTGGGAATCATAGCACAGCCAAGTTGACACACATTTTGGGGGGGACACAATTCAATCCATAACAATAGGTGAGGGAGGTCATATGGGAGGACACCCACGTACATATATAGGTATGGCTGTGGATATTTCTACATACATATTTTTAAATGCTGAATGTATATTCATATATATAACAGAGCACATGTTGTTTTTGTTAAGTGCCTGTCATGGTTTGAATTATGTCCCCCAAAAAATGTGTGTATCAATTTGGCTGGGCCATGATTCGCAGAATTGTGTGGTTGGCCTCCATTTTGTGATTGTAATTTTATGTTAAAGAAGATTAGGGTGGATCAGGTCACATCCCTGATCCAATGTAAAGGGGGTTTTCCTAGGGTGTGGCCTGCACCACCTTTTATCTCTCAAGAGATAAAAGGAAAGGGAAGCAAGCAGAGAGTGGGGGACCTCATACCATCAAGAAAGCAGTGCCGGGAGCAGAGTGCGTCCTTCGGGCTGGGGTCCCTGCGCAGACAAGCTCCTAGTCCAGGGGAACACCAAAGAGAAGTACGCTGACAGAGAGAAAAAGCCTTCTCCTGGAGCTGACGCCGTGAATTTGGACTTTTAGCCTATTTTGACTGTGAGGAAATAAACTTCTCTTCTTTAAAACCATCCACTCGTGGTATTTCTGTTAGGGCAGCACTAGATGACTAAGACAGTGCCATTGAGTCAATTCCAGCTCATAGGGACCTTATAGGACTGAGCAGAACTGCCCCACTGGGTTTCCAAGGAGTGGCTAGTGGATTGGAACTGCCAACCTTTCAGTTAGCAGCCGATCTCTTAACCACTGCACCATCAGGGCTCCAACAGAGCATATAGGGGGCACAATTACAGAAACTACTTTTACATCGGGACTGAACTACTGGACTTGAAGGCTAAGTACCATTGTCTTGGGGGACATCTATGTCGTTTGGCAAAATACTGTTCATAAAGACAATATTCTATATCCTAGCCTAGTGAGTAACACCTGAGATCTTAAAAGCTTGCAAGTTCCGTGTAAGAAGCAGATACTGGTCTCTTCTCCCCTAGGTCAAAGGAGAGCAAAGAAAACTGAAGACTCAAAGAAGCAATTGGTCCAAAGGACTAATGGGCCACAGGAACCACAGCCTCCTGTAACCTGAGACCAGAAGAACTAGATGATGCCCAGCTACCACTGCCGACCACACTGACCAGGATCACAATAGAACGTCCCGGTTAGAATGGTTTAAATAAAAAGTAGAAAAAAATTCAAATTCAAAACAACAACACATTTACTAGTCTGAAAAAGACTGGAGAAATCCCCAAGACTATTGCCCTAAGGCAACCTTCTAACTCGAAACTGAAGACATTCACGGAAGTCAATTAGCCAAATAAAAGACGAGGTTGTAAAATAAACAATAACATCCATGAAGAATGCACTCCTTAGAACAAACAACTATAGGAGAGTAAAAGGGCAACATTTGCCCAAAACCAAAGATGAGAAGGCAAGAAGGGGCAGGGAAACCAGAGTAATGGAAACAAAAAACCCAGAGAGGAAATGGGGAAAGTGCTGACACATTACAGGGATTGCAACCAATGTCACGAAAATTAATGTAAGAATCATTGACCAGAAAACTAATCTGGTATGTAAACTTTCACCTAAAGCACAATAAAATATTCAAAAAGAAAAAAACACATCTGACTCAGGATCATTTAGTAATAGCCACGGGGACTGTGTTGGAATCTACCTCTCCCAAGGAAAGGATTCCAAGCGAGTAGATCTATAAAGAGACAATCAAGCTCCCTTATCTCTCTATGCTCACCTCAAATTCCACCTATCAGTTCCCAATACCATTTAAAATTAGGCAAGAGGTAAGGAAGCCCAGGACATTGCAATACACTGAATGGTGTTTTGCAAGGTGCCAAACTGTTGTGTTGTATTCATGTTTGGCTAAGAAGATCTTGGGAGGTAGCACACCTCTATGATCCTCTCCGTGTCCTAAAAGTCAGAGATATTAGGTCAAGACTCTTCATCATAGGACAGTGTTTCCCAGCCTTCTTAAATTATTGTCCCCCATCTCAAGGTGCTGTTTTA